ATCCTTTGGGTATATACCAAGGAGTGATTATAACCGGGTCATAAGGTAGGTTCATTTTTAGTTTTTTAAGAGTTCTCCATATTGTTTTCCATAGAGGTTGCATGAGTTTGCAATCCCACCAGCAGTGAATGGGCGTTCCCCTTTCTCCACATCCTTGCCAGCATTTGGAATCATTTGTTCTCTTGATCCTAGCCAATCTGATTGGGGTAAGGTGATACCTTAGGGTGATTTTAATTTGCATTTCTTTAATTACTAATGATGTAGAACACTTTTGAGATGTTTCTTAGCCATATTTATTTCTTCTTTGAGAACTCTCTGTTTAGATCTTTAGCCCATCTTTTCACTGGGTCATTTGGTTTCTTGATTCTTTGTTTTTTGAGTTCTTTATATATTCTGGATGTTAAACCTCTGTCAGATGTGTCACAGGTGAAGATTTTTTCCCATTCTGTTGGTTTTCTCTTCACTTTTTTTGATTGTTTCTTTCACTGTACAGAAGCTTTTTAGTTTAATGAGATCCCACTTGTTGACTGCTGATCTTAATTCCTGAGCAACTTCTGTCTGATTTAGAAAATCTTTTCCTACACCTATATCTTGTAAGTTACTGCCAATATTTTCTTCTAATAGTTTCAGGGTTTCCAGTTTCACATTGAGGTCTTTGATCTATTTGGAGTTGACTTTTTACAAGGTAAAAAAGATAAGGATCTAATTTCATTCTTTTACAGATGGAGATCCAGTTTTGTCAGCACCATTTGTTGAAGATGCTGCCTTTTCTCCACTGTGTGTTCTTGGCACCTTTGTCAAATAACAGGTGGCTGAAATTGCATGTACTCGGGTTTGGGTCTTCAATGATGTTCCATTGATCTATGTGCCTATTTTTGTGCCAGTACTATGCTGTTTTTATGACTATAGCTCTGTAGTATACTTTGAAATCTGATATAGTAAACCGCCCAGAACAACTTCTTTGTGCTCAGGGTTGCTTTGGCTATCTGGGGTCTTTTGTGCTTCCATACAAATTTAAGGATTTTTTTTTCTAATTCTGTGAAGTATGTTATGGGGATTTTGATTGGGATTGCATTGAATTATATATTGCTTTTGGTAGGATGGTCATTTCCACAATATTAATTCTTCCAATCCATGAGCATGGGAGGTCCTTCCATCTCCTGGTGTCTTCCTCAATTTATTTTTTTAACCTTTTAAAATTTTTATTGTAGGGATTTTTGGTGTCTTTGATAACATTTATTACAAGATATTTTATTTTTTGCATCAATTGTGAGTGGGAGCATTTCCCTGTACTCCTCCAATTGCTTGTTATTGGTATATAGAAAGACTACTGATTTTTGTAGATTGATTTTATAACCTGCCACTATACTGAAAGTATTGATCAGTTCTAGGAGTTTTCTGGTGGAACTTTTGGGATCTCTTTATAGTATCATATCATCTTACAAAAAGGGATAGTTTGAGCCAGGCATGGTGGCACACGCCTTTAATCCCAGAACTTGGGAGGCAGAGGGAGGCAGATCTCTGGGAGTTCGAGGCCAGCCCGGACTCCATAGCAAATCCAGGCCAGCTGGGACTACAGGAAGACCATGTCTCAAAAAGACCAAAAAATAAATAAATAAATAAATAAATAAATAAATAAATAAATAAAGGGAT